AGCATACTAAAGCCTGAGCTCCCGTCTTGTTGTGTGGGCTGTTCCTGTCAGCCCAGGCCTAGTTTTATCTTGATTGAATTAATCTAATTTATTATTTTTGTCCAAAAACACTCCCGGGATATGTATATTTTTTAAATTTCTGATGTTTTGAATTTCTCGTCATCCTCATTGTTACAAACCAACCAAAGCCAATTTGCATATGGCCAACTCTGGTCTTTTGGTAGGTCTTTTAGTAGTTATTTTGGTATGTTTGCAGATTATGACACAAGCAGACATTTAAACAGACAGTGAGCCAGCATGCATATTTTATGTAGCCTGTTCTTTAAATCTGATGAAACCCCAGCTTTCCGTTGTTGCCTTAAAAATGCTTATTCTAAGCAGATAAAACAATATTCCAGACACAAGATTTTGTTTACCCAGAGTCTCCAGACGTCTCACGGATTAAACCTAAGGTGTTATCCCTAAGGGTTTAGGCCTCTCCAGAGTCTTCCCTTTCCTAAGCAAGGGTGAATTCTCTCTCTAAATTAATTCAACCAGTTATCATAACTGGGATACTATGCATTTCACCAGCAAAATCCCATTTTGCTCTTTAATAAGCCACTACTTTCATCAGTGAAAACCTACTTCATTATGATAATTGGGAAGACTTTTGGTGTAAATCAAAGATTAATATGACAAAACCCCCCCTTTTTGGTTGTTGTTTTGTTTGGTTTTGTTTGTTTGTTTTGAGACGGAGTCTCGCTCTGTTGCCCAGGCTGGAGTGCAGTGGCCGGATCTCGGCTCACTGCAAGCTCTGCCTTCCGGGTTCACGCCATTCTTCTGCCTCAGCCTCCCGAGTAGCTGGGACCACAGGCACCCGCCACCACGCCCGGCTAATTTTTTGTTGTTTTTAGTAGAGACGGGGTTTCACCGTGTTAGCCAGGATGGTCTCGATCTCCTGACCTCGTGATCCATCTGCCTCGGCCTCCCAAAGTGCTGGGATTACAGGCGTGAGCCACCGCGCCCGGCCGACAAAACCCTTTTAGCAGCCATCTCCATATGTGATTCTTCTAATTAAATGCTAGGTGGTCAATCTTGGTACGTGAATTGAAATACAGACTGGGCTTTGGGAGGTTTACAAGTTCTCCAGGTGTTTCTAATGTACAGGCACAGTTGCGAAGCATTGTCCCGCCACTATTACTGCTACTGTAGTTGACCCTTGAACAACATGAGTTGGAACTGCACTGCTCCACTTATATGTGGATCAAACAAATGCAGATTTCAAACAAATGCAATCAAACATAAGAATATTTGTGGATTGCAAAACCCAAGTATACAGAGGACTGACTTCATATAAGTGCATAGCTGACTTCAGGACTTCAGTATGCGAGGATTTGGGTATACTCGGGCAGTCCTAGAACTAGTCCCCCATGAATGCAAAGCTTGAGGTATTTTCCTGCACTACTGTGCTATCTGTGTTGAGCTATTAATATTTACAAGTAAATTTCTGACATCATTTGTCGAATCCTCCTTCTAGAATGAGAGACTTAAATTTATAGTATTGAGAAAGAACACATTAATACTTTTAAGATTTTCACTGCGTTCTTAATCTGATTTATTCGTTCCTTAATCTCCTGACCATAAGTGATGTAAAGTCAATTTTTTGGTATCTGCTTTAAATTGCTCTTTTTCTTTACATGTACTTGCTTTTTGTTTATTATCACAATGATAAAGGATTATCTCCCTTACAGCAAATATTTTATAGAGGCTTACATAAAGGAGTATGTTATTAAAATTAAAATGTCCTTTATCATCAGTTGTAAGACTTACCTTTTCCACATTTACCATTTCTGAAATTGGTAAAAATCTTCCAGTTGTTGGCATTTTATCATTGCCTTACCTGAGTGGCAATCTTTGTGTAGTCATATGTAAACCTTTGTTGACATGACACATTTTGTTAAGATCAAGAAAGTACCAGCAGGCTCTCATGAGTCTTAGGGTGCCATGGTAATAATTCAGCTGGTTCCATGAGAAGCAGCTGAAAACCTGGCCGTCTTTGTAGGCCATTCTCTTGCTCTGCCTTGTTCGTTTTGTTTTATGTTGTTGGGTATTAACAGAATCAATCTCTGAAACAATTATAAATAATCCTCTGGGGCTCTTAAGTGAAACCACTAGTCCCCTTTCCCTCACTTTGGTTTGCTGGCTATCTGATTCATATTTGCAAACTGAATAGATAAGGATTTCCAATCCCAGTAGAAAAAAATTGTGTATATTCTCTATCATTTCTTTCTAAATCACGCTTTAATATGTTAATGTTTTTTCCTATTGTAAACTTGTTAAACACATTTTCTTGTATATTTCCTATGTAATATCATGATGTATCAAGTACTTGATACATACTATTACCTGATATATTTGCACCATAATTTGATGACCATATCAGCTCTCTGATATCTGTTACCTTCATTTTTATTAGATTTTTTTAGATTGGTAAAAATCTTCCATTGTAAGGAAAGCTACAATGAGTGATCTTTGGACATGAAAAGTATTTAGTTTATTTCCTTTGGATGGATTACCAGAAATCAAATTACTGGGTCAAAAGAATATGAACGTTTCTCAAGTCCTTGAAACTTTCTGACAGATTGTATTCTGATAGAATTGTAATTTAAGAATGATTAAGGCTGTTTGGGGAATTTCTACCTGCTTCCCCTCTTTCATTCATAGGTTACTGTGGCAGATACCACGTGAAATAATTATTTGAGGGGTGTAATAGATTTGGAGTAGGTAGGCATAGGAGAGTAGGTAGGGTTTCTTTAACTTTTTGTTAGAAAACCAAAATTGAAGGAGAACAACCCTTATTTTGACATAAGAAGGCAAGCTTTAATGTTTTTTCATCTTAACTTTTAAAAAACCAGAATAAATGTTGTAAGAAGCTCAACAGTTTATTTAAAATACAGTGTCAGGTATTAGACTAGTAGTCTGTTTTTAAAAATAAAAGCTAATATAGAGAGCTTTTCCTCTTACATAGTATTGTGGTTTAGAGTGAAGTGAACAGCTGTTATGCTGCATGTAGAAGGCAGGATATAAATTATTATTTTTATAATTTGAAAAAGTATCTTAGAATAACAGTGGTTTGCTGAATAGATTGTAAATTAGGCACAGCTTTAGTCTTCACAATTCTAATAAAAGCTAATGTTAAAAATAAAATTTAATAGATGCTTTAAAAATCAACTGCTAGCATATTAGTTGTGTCAAGCAAGTACATGCATTTAGCAAACAGTTATTAAACATCTAGGCTAGTAACTTTGTTAGACATCAGTGATTAGCATTCTTTAATGGAAAGATATGATGTAACATGAAAGAGGGAGAAATTAAATTCTTGGAGTTTTCTGAAAAAAGCAAGTTGACATTTGAACAAAGTGTTGAAGGATGTGTAAGATGCCAAGTCGGAGGAGGCAGTTACTGGGGTAAATAAATACAGTGTAAGGGTGATAATCACAAGAAACTGTAGAAATGCAGGAAGGTTTATGATATTATTGCTGATACTTAGGTTGCATGTTAGGAAATGAGGGCAAGATCTAAAAGACCTGTATGATGAATGTTATTATGAAGGGTTTGCCACCATGAAATATGCCGTGAATTAATCTATTAGATTATTGTGGTGGGATGGTGGCTCTCATTACTAGAATCATGAATAAAGTAAGATAGTGATTGGGTTACTTTATTCAGGACTTGAAGATAAAGTCCTGAATAAAGTAATTATGATTATATTTTATAATTTGATTATAAATAATTATATAATTATGATTATATTTTATAGTTATATTTTATGATTATATTTTATAATATAAAGTAATTATGATTATGATTTTATAATTTAAGACTCTGAAAGGGATACTTTCTTGCCAGTGTTGGGAAGAATAACAAGAAAGAAATTGGGGATGTAATAGTTTTTTTAAAATCTTAATGTAGAAGAGAAGGACATAGTGGGTAGATTTTGGGGTTATATAAGAATAGTGTCAAGATTCTAAAACTAAAAATGAACTGAGAATTAGGAAAAATTGTTAGAACATTAGATCGAACAAATAATAACCTCGCCTTTTCCCAAAAAGTTTGAAATGTACCTGAAGCAACAAGGAGGACAGTAGGAGCATTATTGAGTGTATGGGAGGTTGCGGTGATCATTGAAGAAACAAAGAATATATATTTGGTTTTTGTCTTCAATGGCAAGGAAAATTATGTTTAAACTATCGTATATAAAGTAAACATTGCTAAGAGGGACTTGAAATCAAACCAAAAAAACAGGAAATAAGCAGATAAGTGTGCTAAATAAACATGTTTCCTAGTGTTTTATTTCATCCAGTAGTATTGAGAATACTGTGAAATGAAATCACTAGCAAAAAAAAAAATGTAAGAAATGGGAGTGGCAGAAAAATGGACACAAGCAAATACAGGCCTTTTGAACCAAATGCTAGAGGAATAGAAGTTTTCCTATTTCTAGTATATAAGGAGCAGTTTTTGAAATCAACTTTATTTTTACATCTCTGGAACATATTAAAATATTATTGAATTTTATCTGTTTTACATGGACCTGGTATACTAAGATGAGCATATAGTTTGCATACATTGACCACTAGATGGTGCTCATACAGAAGGGATTTTGTGTGTGTGACATTCAGGGTTTTTCTAGATAAATAACAAATCTATGTTCTTGTCAATCTTCTCAGTCTTGTGTTATCTCAATACAGTTCTATGTTTTGAAATTTAATAGCCCACATTAGAAAAGAGTAATAAAAATGCCTGTTATATTGCATTTACATTACATTAGCTTTGTAGTTACTTTGTATTTTTTCTTTTCTTTTTCTTTTTTTTTTTTTTTGTACTTTAGAGTTTCAGTATTGCTTGTCCCCTTGTCCTTTACCTTTTTACATTTTTCACTAAGATTATTTAGTAAACTGGGCATGGTGGTAACCCCAGCTACGTGGGTAGCTGAGGCAGGAGAATGGCTTGAGCCAAGGAGTTCAAGACCAGCCTGGGCAACATATAGTGAGACTCCGTCTCAAAAACAAACATAAAAGATTATTTAGTACTTGCCTTTGTTTCTGTAGCTAAAGACTGCTGGGTTTGTGACTTTAGAAACACACACAAGTAACTGAGAGCCTATCCAGTATACATTTTTAACTGTTTTTACTTTCATTTAATATTAAAAAGTAAATATTCCTCATAGTCATAAATTTTTCATAATCCTGTTTTGAAATACATAGTAATCCACTGAACTAATCATATTTAGTTTACTAAATTAAGCTTTCTCCTATTGTTTAGGCTAGAATTCTACTATAGATTATATTATCCCTCCGAAAAAGAAAAAACATTACAGAAAAAAGAATATTAATTCTTTGTATGTCATATTAAAATGTTAATAGTGGTTCCTTTTGGTAGTTTAGATTGCATACCATCTTTTAATCCATTGTTTTAAATAGATTTTCCTGGTTTTTCTTTAATGAACTTAAATTTGGTTTTAATGGAGTTTTATCTTTCATCTCTGCTGTGTAATGAGAGAGGATATTCTAAAGCAAAGAGTTGGTTGCCTTCCATCTCCCAGTCTAATCTTATGTGAAACCCCTCTTGTGATTTAGGTGTAAATTTTATGTGTGCATATACTGACTGCTGGCCAATGAATGAGGTGTTCCTAGATTTTTGTAGGTCATGTAACAGGACGTTTTCATAAAGAAGCCTTTCTTAAAACTTGAAGTTGTTTTCTTGATGTGAATGGATTTGGATAGGAAATTCACATTGAGAAGTATTTCTTCCCTGTACATTGGGGAAATATGGGGGGCAGTGATCTGTCAACTTTAGATTGTACCCCTAAGTTCTTTGGTTCTGTAGGCTAAATACATGTACACTAAGAGCCTACTATTGTCTGTCTGTTAGTACTGTTTACAGTTTGAGGTAGGAGATTTGCATTCAACCGTTGTATTCCTGATCTTCATCCATACTAATTCAGAATAACAGAACTCATGTCAGTTCTTGGGTTTTCTCCTCCCCTTTTCTTAAGGTTTTCATCAGACATGGATCAAGGCACATATTTTAGGGCCAGACAAATTACTGTAGCATTTGTATAAACCACACTAATCAGGTATTTAGTAGGTACCTGGTCTATAATAAAACTTGAATTTTTTTCCAGGAGGTTTCATTTTTTCCTTCACAAGAGTATTATTAGTTACCTATCTGCCCTTAGTGTTTTCTTATATTCTCCTACTCCGAATTAGATAGGATCACTCTGTCTGGGGCTGCAAGTTGTCAGCTACTGCCTGCACAGTCCTTGGGAAGAAGCAGCATACTTTCTGGTATAATCTGTCACAAAATATCTTACCCTCAAGAGTCCCACGTGGCTCTCAACCCTTACTGAGCACATGTTCGCGTCTCAGCAGAGGTGTCACAGAGACAGGGCTAGCGTATTTTCTTGCTGAGTCAGGATTTGCAGTGGCCCTCAAGGTTGTAGTGTATTTTCTTGCTGAGTCAGGATTTGCAGTGGACCTCAAGGTTGTCGTTTGACAAAAGGCTGCATCTAGCTGGTGCTGGTAAGCACGTAGACAAGCAAGATTTTGTCAGTCCACATCTGAAAAAATTCTGTGGCTGAGGTTGGGACTTACGACATGCTCTTATTAACTTAAAAATTGAATTATTCAACCAATAGTAAATTATTAAGTAGCGTTTTTGTTCACATATTGTTTTAAAATGACCATTGTGGTAATATTTACTAATATAGCACAGTGTTAAGAGGGCTTGCTTGGGAGTTTGTGATTCTCAAACTTGAAGGTACTTAGGAGTCACTTGGGAAGCGTTTTAAACATAAAAATTCCCAGGTTCCCCCTGCCCCTAACATTTTGATGGGGAGAGGATACACCAATCTGCATATGTAACTAGCGCCCCAGGCAATTCTCTGGCGAACTATTATGTTAACGTAGATGTTAGATGTTCCTTTAGCAATCAAGTAATAGTATTTGGTGAACCAGAGTAGTATTTATGTAGAGTTGGATACAACACATTTCACTGATTATAAAACAAAAAATTTACCAGCGTTTTTTCATTTTTAGAAATTTATGACCTTGTAATCTGAATGTTTATAAAATACTAGAGAGATGATTCTGATAATTTCTTGGAAGTTCTTTTTTATCATAAAAGTTCCAGAAGCAAAATATTTGTTTTAGTAATTAATCTACCTTGAGACTCAGTTATTAATCATTAAAAGCCAATACATAAAATGATAAAGGAAAATCCATTTGTAATGAAGCGCTATCATTAGATATTTAGAGTTTAACGTAGGCAGCACCTTTGAACAACTTAGAGCCAGTGCCAGATGATGTGTAAGATCCTGCCTGGTGTAGAAATTTGGATATGAATGACAAAGATTCTTTTAGTGAAATCATTTAAACAGTCAGAACTGTTTGCAGAGAGAATCCTCTTGTGTGTTTTAATTCAGTTTATATTTATAATTTATATAAGCAGTGAAGGTGCCATTGGGTTTTACTACAGACTGTGGTTGAAACTTGGTAATCCAGGGTTTTTCCACCCAGTGCTTTAAATCAGGCAGCCAGCCCCACAGGGTCTTGGTAGTCCAGTGTTTATAGCATCCTTCTTTACCTGCTAATCGACCTCACTTCCTGGATTTCAGTCCATCTAGTTATCAGCTAACAAAAGAACAGCTTTTGGTTCCTGCAGACGCTGGTGAAAAAATAATCATGAGAAAGAAATCCACCTTATGTCGTCTTTTTTGTCTGCAAAAATAAACTCAGCCATCATACAGCTAACAGGTACAGAGGGAAGATACGAGCTCTTTCATAGGAAGAAATCGCTGAGAAAATGAGCATCATTTCTCAAGGTTTTTATTTTCACTGATCTACAAGTGATGCTGCTGTAATTCTAGCTGCAGTTTTTACCGATCATTCACCACTCAGCAGCTGGTAGAGAAGTAAGCCTGCTTGGCAACCACCTGCAGGGCTGCAGAGATGAATTACATTTTCGGAAACAACACACTTCTATACTCTCGCGGCAGTCGAGGAGGCAATACTAGCTCTAGCCATGGCTCAGCAGGCCCAAAGCAGAAACACTGGGCAAAAAAGGGCTCGTCAGATGAACTGCAGGCTGAGCCAGAACCTTCACGCTGGCAGCAGATAGTTGCATTTTTCACTCGAAGACACAGCTTTATTGACTGCATCTCGGTAGCCACCAGCTCCACCCAGGTAACATACCACTTGTTGAAATTATTTTCAATCTATTTCTGTTTACATTTGCTTTGTAAAAATGTCTTAATATAGAGTTTTTGTTTAAAAAATAGTCTTATGGCTTGAAACCTTGGATGTGTAGAAATGTATGTTTTCTGTCCATCCATGCAGGTCTTTAGCACAAAAGGGGGAACAAGAAATATTTTTCCTTATGTTCTTATGTAATACCAAACAAAATAGCCTCAGATTCAATTGAATGACTTTTCTAAAAATATAAACCCATTGATACATAAATTAAAATACGAATTAATAATGCTCATCTCCTTTTTAGACTGTGCTAAATGCTATAGAGTATGATGTCTGACCAAAGAAAATGCTGGGTTGTTTAGTTTTTGTATGTTATTAGATAACCTTAGGGAGACTATTATAGTAAAGAAACAGAAGATACTTTGAAATATTTTCATTTTTCAGTGTTTTGAAAATAGATTCAATTTAATAATTGGCTAGTATTATATATACTTACATCTTAGCTATATTATGGCTTATTCAAGGAATTTAATGAATCCTTTTTTGTAAATATTATTTATCTAGCTTAATTTGAAATTAGTGAACTTGTGCAATTACACAGTCATGGAATATTTTTTCACATATTAAAATCACAATTTAAAGAGTTGAGCAAATACTAAAAGTCTCAAAATTTTTAAAAAATCACGTAACACCACTTTTTGAGGAAATGAGCTATTGTCTATAGGAGGAAAAATAAAGAAAAATTAATAATTGAATGAAATACCTATTGTTTGGTACAGGGGTGGTTTGGGGAAATATTCATATTTCTAAATATTTTTAAGCAGTCAGTTCAACTTTAGTAAAAATAAAAGGATGATAAATTGTCTAATTTAAAAATAAGTTGAGAATGCATTTGTCCTCTGACATCAGTGATATTTAAATTAAGAAAATACATACATACACATTCCTTAGGACCTTTTAAAATAAATTCCCTTAAAGCTATCTTTTAAAGAAAATAATAGAAGCAGCACAATAAATATAAACTATAACTGTCAACAGTTCTATATTTCTTTGTATATTTTTTATAAATTACTGTTTTTGGTTACTAGAATAATTGTCTTTTAAAAGTGTGGATTTAAAATAACATCAGCTTTCTTAAGTAAGAAATTCTGCTTATTTTTCTTAAATATTTGGGAGAAATAGAATTACCTAGGAAGGGGGAGTCATTACGTAGGCATTGAGGTTAAGTTACAATCAAAACTTATTGAATGGGCAACCATTGATTTAACTCTTAAATTGAATACTGCCCCATGAATTTTACTAACCTTATTTTGACTACAATTATATATATCACAAAAGGATGCAAAGACTAAAGGTTGACAGTGTTACTCATTGTAGATAATACTACGTGGTATTTTCCATTGTCAACAAAAAAGATATCTTTAAAACTTTTTATATATATATGGTTTATGTAAATACACACCCTTCTATATATGTGTACACAGATAACACTAGCATTGATATATTTGTCACTCAGTTTATTAAAAGCATGCAAATGAAAAGACAGGAAAAGTAGTTCATGTATAAGCTGTTGAAACCACAGAATTACATTATAGTTACTTGGGAGTTGGAGCAAAACATTGCTATCATTGCACTAAAATAGTCATGACCTCTATTTGCTGATCAATTCTACAAAGCCATTTTAAATGTTATCCCCTTACCCACTTTGGTTCAGAGTATTCCTGCATGCTAATATGTGAGTTTTTAATAGTTTTTATTTCTTTCAGACCTCTTTCCTCATTCTCATCCTGTCTTTTTCATTACCTTTCTATTTTATTTCTAGAAATACAGGTATTAGGGTAGAGGTTTTAGCTTCTGTTTTTCTTGCACTGGAGTACCCACATTTTGTTTTTCATTTTATGCATTTTTATAACTGATACATTGGATAGTAATCTAATTTTTTTTATAACTTACTGGAGTTCATTTTACAAGTTAAAATATAATAGGACTGAAAAATAAGTTTAGGTGTAATTAGATCTTAGCTGATGCTAGAATATTTTTTTAAATCTCACTGACTCCTGGCTGGCGCTTTCTTTTGCAGCACCAAGGGATTTATTGTTAGAAACAACGTAGATTGAAATTTCATACTTTGAGCATATAATATATACCTTTGAATATAATAGGGTGATTTGTACTGTGATTGGTAAATAACAGAGGTCTCTTATTTCACTGGTGTCAAAAATACTCTTTAAGATTTGATAGAAAGATTACCTTTGAATCTAATTCCTTATGACTAAGCCACATGATACTTTTTGCAGATTGGAGAGTTGTTATAAGTCAAGTTCTATTAGTATGAAAATTATCTGGTTTAGTATCCCCCCAAATATAGTATAAAAATTATCTGGTTTAATATCCCCCTAAATATACCACAGTACATAAAAAGAACCTGTACTTTATAGATTCATTTAAATTGCTTGTCTGCTGGAGGTATTCATGTTCATAACTAAGATTGTGTGCCATGTTCTACTGTGGTACCTGGAACTCAGCAGGAAGTCATTAATGTTTTTTGAATGATAAGGAAGTTGAGTGGTTATAAACTTTTGCAAGACACCTAGCTCCTCAGTTAGGGTTTGGCATGTAGTTGGTGTTAATAAATGCTTATAGAATTAATTAATTTTTATTCCATTCACCTCAAATGTTATCTCCTGGCCTTCATGACAACCTAATCTGATACCTCTTGCAAAGTACCTGTATTGGTTGGATCTTCTCTCTTCCCTCACAAGTGTCTTTGGTTTTTCCCAGCAGCCCATCTCCTTTTCCACTGCCTTTTCCACAGCCTTCACTTCCCCTCCATTCTTCATATTATCCTCCAGTCACACTTCCCGGATGCCCCTGATTTCCTCACCCCTTTCAGTCCCCACTCAGTAGTGATAACCAAATAGCTTACAGACTGCCTCTAAGTTTTATCATTTGATTGTATCTCATTTTACATTGTGAGTTTTTTGAGGGGTTATTTTGTTTTTTAATGTTAAATTAAAATGAGTTTCTTATGAATTACATTGGTGAAAACTTTTTCTGTTTGAGGCTTCATAGTGTTTTTGTCCTTAATTTCAAACCATTTAATATAGAAAAAGTTCTCTGTACGTTGCCAAGCCCTCCTTGGTTCCTCACCCTCAGCATCCCTCCTATTCTTGTGTTTAGGATCACTTAATAATCTGCCCCGTCCTACTTAGCATACGCAGTCCTGTTCCAATCTGGGACCAGTTTTTATATTCAGCAGGGTTTTAAAGAACGCCAGCGCAGTGCTTCTAGACTTTACTTGATTAACACCTAGGTGAAAAGTTTTATTTACTTAGTGATATCAACATTTATTAATGACAGTAGTAATCTTATGAACTTTAAATAGCTGTGAAGTGTTCGGTCATTTTGAATGTGTGTATAGCAACTATTCATACATTTTGGACTACTTGAAAATCTCAATATATAAGATCATTATACACATTCAGAAAGCTCCCCCACCCCTCAAAAAAAGCAATTAACATGCCAAATTAAGCTAAGAGCAGCAGAGCTCTATTCCTAGAAACACGGAACAGACATAACTTGTCAGAATGGAAATGGAATAGTAAAATTTTCTTAAAGAGTAAATGTTAGCTGAGTTGAATAATCTGCTTAGAGGAAAAACCCTGTCCTAAGTTAAAAATACAGGAAAACATTGTTCAAGTACCTGTGTGGAAAAATATTTAGGCTAATTTGTATACTTAAAAAATATTGTTTGTCCTAAACAGGTGCCTTCTAAGTTAAAGAGGATTTAATTTTTAGAGCTATGCATTGGATATATTGTCCAGGAGATAATAACAACAGTATCAGTGTCATTGAGTCACTTCTACCAAATCATTTAATGTATATATTAATAAAGTACTTAGAACAGCATCTGGCACATAGTAAGTGCTACATTAGAGTTAGGTGCACCTGTTATTTTTGTATCATTTAACTCTAATAGTATATGAACAAATTCAGACATAGATTATTAGGAATTATAGCACCTCGGATAGTGCAGTACATTCAAACATTCAGTAACTATTGTTGACTGATGAAGTTAACTTGTAAGTACAAGCCGTCCACTTTTTTTAAGAACCAGAGGTCTCAACACCTTTAGTTACAGGGTTTAAGGGAGGTGCCCCAAAGAGCCTTTCAAATTCTTGATGAGACTACCAGGTTTTTGACCTTTCCTCCCCTCCTAGCACTCCCTTCTACAAATTGGTAAAAACCAGTCACATGTAGATGACTAAATTTAAGTGATTATCCACTTCTTACCAAGCTCCCCTAAACATCCCCGAAACACATCATTAGGACTATTTTTAGATCCTACATCCCTTTTAGCCTCAGTCACTACAAAAAGTCCAAACCATCCAGATTGCAGCTCTGCCTTCTCTATACCAACTCGCAGACTGCACATGAAACTTCTAATACCTAATTCCTGCTCTTATTCTCAAATAAATAATCTTGCTCTGTGTTCCAGCCTGTTAAAATAAATGAACTGTCTGTGTGCTTGAAACTCACCCATTCACTTCGGTACTAGATCTTAGTCCCTTTGGTTGTTTAAGAACTTCCAAAATCCCCTTCTCTCTTCACGGCATCATCTATCTTGCCTCTATACTGCCCCTAGACTTGCCTCTGTAAGTCCCATCAGGATATACCCCTGCTATAGTATCTTTCATTAAAACAGCCAGCCAAAAAACCCTCTTTGTATGAGTGTAGATTATCAAATCCAATGGCCAGTTCTCAGTGTTCGTTTTACTTGACCCTACAACATTGTTAACACAATTGATTACTCCCTCTTCTAAATTCTTTTTTTCTCCTTTGACTTGTGGATAGTACTGCTCTTTTAATATTCTACCGGCCTCATTTTCTTTTATAGTATCCTCCTTTTTCCTGCTGCTAACTGTTCAAATGTCTCAGGGCTCTGTCTTTGAACTCTCTTTTTATACTTACATTTCAGGTGATCTTATCTA